CCCTTGGCCTTTTTTAGGGACAATAAGTTATTTAATTTTTTTCATTTCTCATTTCCCTTCTGAAAAAAGAAGATACTTAACTGAATGGTGTTGAGGCTGACATGAAGGTGTGTGGGCCTTCCCCACTGAGTGCTCTATTGCGGTTGCCACGAGACTGCTTGTGAAACACTGTCTGAAGGGTCTTCCTTGTGCCCCAGCATACATGCCTGTAAGATGGTGGTTCTGCTGGCGCTTAGGGTTCAGTGTGTGACCAGAAACTTCAGATTAATCCTTATATGACCAATAAGTCCTTTTGTTCATGACCAAATTCACTTGCTAACTGTGTGACTTTGCAGAGGTTACTTAGTCAATATGAGCCTCAGGTTTTTCTCATCTGTAAAATAAAGATGATGATAAGAGTATACATCTCATAGGGTGGTTGTGAGGATTTAAGATATCAGTTTGTACTGTGTACCTGTCACATGGTGACTACTCTAATATTCCCCCCTTAATGGGACTGAAAGCATCACAGGGAATCAGGATAAGGCTCCTGCTCAGCCAAGTTTTGTGGCTGTGCTGCTGTGGGTGAAGTGGTTGCCACCCACACAGCACACTAGCTGTTTGAGAGAGGATGACTCACTTTGTTTTCCCATGTTGCAGAGAAGCATGTAGTTGAACCTGGATGAATTCTTTACCACTATCCTGTGTTCCAAAATAACTGGAATATTATTCTACCTTAAAAAGGAAATCTTGTCACATGCTATAATATAGATAAACGAAAATATTGTGCTAAATGGAATAAGTCAGTCACAAATACTATACTTACACTTACATGATCATATTTATATTTCTGTGAGGTACCTGATGTAAGAGATTGAGTTGAATGGTGGTTGTCAGGGGCTGGGGAGAGGGAGCTTCAATATTGCAAGAAGAGTTCTGGGGAGTGACTGCAGATTAATATGAATGTACTTAATGCAACTGAACCATGCACTTAAAAATGATTAAAATGGTAATTTTTGTATGTTTTGCCACAATTTAGAAAATTAATTTAAAAACTTATTAAGCAGGGCCTCCCTGATGGTGCAGCGGTTGAGCGCTGGGTTGCGCGAAGCTGCCCGCGCCGGTTCGATCCCCGGCTGCTCCCCGGCCACCGGAGGAGAGTCCCACATGGCGCGCAGACCTCTCCTGCCACCCGCTGCTCCCCTCAGCAGTGTACTTCGGTCCTTCTGCCTGCTCTGCTCCCCGCTCTGGCTCTGGTGAATTCTCTCACCCTCCCGCGCTTCTGACTGTACCCAGTGCTTGTATAAACAAAACAAACAAACAAACAAATAAATAAATAAAACATGCCTCTATTTAAAAAAAAAAACAACAAAAAACAAAAAACAAAAAAAACTTATTAAGCATGTGCCAAATGTTAGGCATTATATCTGGCCCAAGAGAAACAATGAGTGAAAGCCAACATGACTCCTAAAGTGACTCTGATATTAATTTCCAATATGGAGTGGGAGTTCCCACCCATAGAAGTCTCTGGACACAAGCTGGGTGTCCTAAAATTCAACTTAATCCTGAAACTGTCTACCTGGAGATGGTGGCAGATTCTACAGGTCATGTTCTTCAGACTTCAAGAGATGCCTTCCCACCATGTGCTTCTGACCAATAGGCTATAAATAAGAGGTTCCCATGATCCCCCTCCATGATATGAGTAATTTTCTTGAGCACCTCATAGAACTCAAACATTTTCATTATTAATTACTGGTTTATTATAAAAGGATATAATTTTAGGAATAGCCAGAATACACAGGCCACAGTATCTGGAAAGGGCACAGACCTTCCATGCCCCTCTAGGGGGCCACACTCCCTAAATCTCCACATGCTCACCAACCCAGAGGCACTCTGAATCCTGTCCTTTTGGTGTTTTATGGAGCCTTTGTTACATAGGCTTAATTGATTGACTCAATGACTGTTGGTAGTTGAGCTCACTCTCCAGCCTCTCTCCTCTCCCCAGTGGTCTGGTTGTGGGACTGGAAGTTCCAAATTCTCTAACCACACGTTTGGTTCCACTGACAACCCATCTTTAGGTGCTTTCCAAACCTCACCTTATTAACTTAATAAGAGACAGCTTTTTTGCTCACAGCCTTTAGGAAATCCAAGTGTTTTAGGAGTTCTATGCCAGAATTGAAGACAAATTTCATTTTTATAAAGCACAGTATCATATCAATATTTTATTTTTACAAAGCACAATACTTATGAAACAGTAGGCTGATAGTGAGATGATGTTAAGTGGAGAATGACATCAACAGGCAAAATGCAGCTGCAACAGGTGTTACACAGAGAAGTTCACGATATCCTGGGGGTCTGGAATATAGGAACTTGGCCTTGTCAAACAGGCCAGGCCAGGCCAGGCCAGGCACAAAGTTGAGCAGGAGAAAGGAGGACCATTCCAGGGAAGCAGAGAGTGTGTGCAAAAGCTGCAACCAAGGAGGATCTGAAAAGAAGCATGAAGGAACGCAGAGTGTAGAGGGAAGTGTGTTGAGAAGAGGTTGGTAAAGTGGGAGGGGCCAGACCACCCACCTGTTAGAGCTGTGAGGAGCTGTCTTTCCTCAGAAGAGTGGGAAAGCAGTGAGAGTTTTGAGTTGAGGATGGGGAGACAGACAAGGAGGTTTGTGTTTTGAAAAGATCAATCTGAAAGAACTTTTTTCTTTTTTAAAAAATATGTTCTTTTTAGTAATTTTCTCCAGCTTCATTCATTCATTCATTCATTCATTCATTCATTCATTCATTCGTTTATTTATGTATACAAGCACTGGGTACAGTCAGAAGCACGGGAGGGTGAGAGAATTCACCAGAGCCAGAGCAGGGAGGAGCAGGCAGAAGGACCGAAGTACACTGCTGAGGGGAGCAGCGGGCATGGCAGGAGAGGTCTGTGCGCCATGTGGGACCCTCGCCCAGCAGCTGGGGATCGAACTGGTGCTGCAGAGACTGCGGGCAGCTTCGCAACTGAGTGCTCAACCGCTGTGCCACGGGGGAGGCCCAGAACATTTTTTTCTTACAAGGAAAAATCTTATCTGCGGCAGCCCCTGCCACTGAATGCCAGTCTACCGCTGCGCTGGTCCGCGGCACTTATCCAATACTAAGTGTTGTCTCAATTATCCACATTGGAAAATTGAACAAGGCCCCCCAGGTGTTTCTCAGCACCTTTGCTGTGGTCCCCACCTGATGCTTGCAGGGCTCTGACGAGGGTGCAGATGGAGGCTCACATCCCAGCGTCTAACTAGTGATGGGTTATATAATCAGGATAACAAGCTATCATATATTCTGCCTCTTACTACAACAAACACGTCTCTATAACTAAAATGTCAATCAGGAGTGAGCAATTACGGTTTTTATTCAACTCAGTTGGCCAGTATCAAGGACGATTGGATTTAACTGTAACTGTGCAGCTTGGGTGCTCGTGGGGTCAATGAGATGTGGGTGAGTGGTAAAATAAAAAGAAATCACTACCAACTCCATAATTTTTGCCTTCTTTATAGCAAAATTACTGATTTTATTGTTTGAATTAAGCTTTCATATAATTTGTATCATTTTGACAGAAGGAAACAACCTTAGTGGAATATAATTTGCATATCTTTCACCTTGTTGAAGTGTACAACTTTTCTTGAGTCACTTTAGTTTTGTACAGTGTCGTCCTCATTTCAGTTTGAAGAAACTTTGCCCTCTTGATGGCATATCAATCTGAGTTGTTAATGAACTTCTTAGTGATACTCAGATTTGAAAATGAACCATTAAAAAAAAATAAAGAAAATGAGCCAGGAATATATGTTGTTCCAAACATGATAATGGGGTCTCATATGATAAAGAGAATATTAGAATCTATTTTAATTCCATCACATACATCTCTATCACTTTAACTTTTACTATCTTCCCAAGTGAAATTATCAATCCAGTATTAGTGTAAGACACTTGGCATCCTATTTCACACTTTATCTCTTGACACCGACACAAATGTAAGAGTGTTAGGAAAGGTTTTATATTGTGGGCTGTTCCTCAAGTGCCGTGTGCTGTGTGGTGAGTTTACAGGACCTGAACTACACCTTGGAAATGAAGGCACACATGTCTTCTTTGTGTTCATGTACCTAGAAGGAAGGAATCGACAAGTTAATCAGCTTTTTCTCTTATCCTGAGTGTGCCTGCTGATGTACTCCTCCCTGCTCTTTAAAGCACCGACCATCACCGCCCCCCAACCCTCTCCCTTAGCGGTGTGAAGCCTTTACATTTTGAGGCTTTCAGATATAATTGCTCCTTGTTTTGTTTAAGATTTATTTATTTATACAAGCACTGAGTACAGTCAGAAGCGCAGGAGGGTGAGAGAATTCACCAGAGCCAGAGTGGGGAGCAGAACAGGCAGACTGATGAAATACATTGCTGAGGGGAGCAGCGGGTGTGGCAGAAGAGGTCTGTGTGCCATGTGGGACCCTCGCAGGTGGCCGGGGATCAAACCGGCACTGCAGAGGCTGTGGGCAGCTTCACAGCCCAGCGCTCAACCACTGCGCCACCAGGGGAGTCCCAGTTGCTCCTTGTTTTGAGGGCTCCAGGAAAGGGATGTGGGAGAGCAGTTTCATGGGGCCTAAACAGTGTTAATCACTAGAGCTGATGTTTAGGATTACTACAAATGACACAGACACACACTTTTGCATCCTTAATAAGTGTGTGTGTGTATGTGTGTGTGAGAGAGAGAGAGTGAGAGAGAGAGAGAGAACACAAGCATGAGGGGAGGGTTTTAAGAGGGAGAGAGAGAAAGAGAGGGAGAGACTGATTTTACCTATGATAGAGGGTCTGGGATCAGGGTCGCTCTGTCCCGGGTTCAGGATGATTCTACCCTGTAGCCTAAAACTATGCACTGGGCAGGGCCTTTCCAAGTCCACCCCCACTGATGTGTTAATATGGGCCAGCGCTGCCAAGAAGGCTTTTCTCAGTGTGTTCCTTCTGAAGACTGCTGACTGTGTTTTTTACTTGTCTTCTAGGAACTGGTGAAAGTGGCAAAAGCACCTTTATCAAGCAAATGAGAATTATCCATGGGTCTGGATACAACGATGAAGACAGAAAGGGGTTCACAAAGTTGGTTTATCAAAACATATTCACTGCCATGCAAGCCATGATCAGAGCCATGGACACGCTGAGGATACAGTATGTGTGTGAGCAGAATAAGGTAAGGCGCCAAGGGGCGTTGGCCCTGTTTGTGGATGCATGCTTTCCGACACTCTGGTTAGCATCTGTCTTTGAACAAAAGTATTTAGTAAGCGCTTTGCTCAGTAACCAAAAGCAGCTTTTAAGCTGAGCCCAGATCAGAATCTGGGTGGAGATCCTCTGGAGAAGACTGATGGATATCCCTGGCCCTGCCATTTTTCTGCAGGAGTTCTGTCATGGCAGCTAGTAGTGCTCCTTGGGGTGCAGCCATTCTGACACAGGGACAGTCATTTGGTTGCTTTTTCAGGTGCTGGGAAGTGGAAGGCATTTGCATTTTCTCTTGCAGCTAAGATAGCCAGTTAAGTTTTTCAGCGGAGCAATGAAGATTTGGTGGGTTTGCAATGGCCAACTTTTTACAAATTTCCAGTCTTTGGAAATATTTTCACAAATGTCTTGAAACTACTCAGAGAAAACAGTGGATTTTGTTTATTTTTGGGAGCTTGCCCTTCTTGGGTGCAGCCCATGATTGTTTATGAGAGCAGTGCTGTTTCAACTAGCAATGGTCTCTCATACAGTAACAGTGTCCACTTGGCATGTGCTTTCCTGTCACCACCAGTTATTTAAAATACATATTTGTTTAAGACCATAGGAAAATAATGAGGCAGGAGGGTGGGAGGAGAAGGCAGATAACATTTTTTATATATACTGGAATGCAAGTCTATAGGAAAATACTGTGTCTGATAAGAATCTAGATTTGAAATCAAGGTTTTTTTTTTAATTTATACAAATTATGATATCATAAAGAGAAAAATTCTAAGATGAGACTTGTGGATCTGTTGAAAACAACTTATCTGCTAAAATGCCAGAATTGCATGGGGTTTAGGCCCCAAGGATAATCTATGTTGAAGTCATGGCATCTGTATTCATGTATATTATGTATATGTTTTATATATATATATATATATATATATATATATGAGATATACAGAGTTTCAAAGTAATCAAACAACTAAATTTAAATATTCATGATTAGATTGCATAAGAGAGCACAGTGTGAACCAAGCTTTAGACTTTGCATTGTGTCTGCAACTCATGTCTACTGCCTGGTAAAAAAAATGTGGGAGTGTATCTTGCCTACTGCTTCAACCTTCAGCAATGTTATGCTGAAAAATGTGTGTCCATGGGGGCAGATTAGCCTTTAGTACTTCTTCAGCCAATTTTAGTGTGTGTCCATGGGTACCCAGGAATCCCAAGCTATTAAGGGGTGATGCTCCAAAAGTGGTCCAGCCATCTGTGCACACAAAGGCAAAGGAAGCAGACTGTAAGCATGAAAGATTTTTAATAGAATTGGTGTGCATAGAGAGGAAGAAGGGATTTCACTAAGTTTACCGATAAACTCCACAAATTACCCAGTCCCTTATGTGTTAGTGTGCAGACAAACAGACTTGGCCTGAAGTGGGCAACTGAGGTTTCCTCTATTGAAAAATGTATTTTGTTTCCCAGTCATAGTGAGGTGACTATGGAAAGCTTAGAATTTAGGGATGGGTTTGTTAACAGTGGGAAGAAAATATTCCATTATAAGTCCGTTCTACTTACCCTGGCAAGATGTTCGTGAAGTCCAGTCAGTTGTGATCAAGATCTCTGGGTTTTTGTTTTGTTTTCCCTTAAGAACTTCAGGATGGGGGCCTCCCCGGTGGCGCAGCGGGTTGAACACACTGCTGTGAGGCTGTTCGCAGCCTCCATGGCACCGGTTCGATTCCTGGCTGGCCAGGGAGATTCCCGCATGGCGCGGCAGACCTTTCCTATAACTCCCGCTGCTCGCCTCAGCAGTGTATTTACATTCTTCTGCCTGTTCTGCTCCCTGCTCTGTCTCTCACCCTCCTGCGCCTTTGGCCTGTACCCCAGTGCTTATATGAATAAATAAATCTTTAAAAAAAAAAAGAACTTCAGGAGGGTCTCAGAATTTATATTTTAAAATTTATTTATTTATTTATACAAGCACTGGGTACAGTCAGAAGCGCGGGAGGGTGAGAGAATTTACCAGAGTCAGAGAGGGGAGCAGAGCAGGCAGACTGACGAAATACACTGCTGAGGGGAGCAGCTGGCGGCAGGAGAGGTCTGCGCGCCATGTGGGACCCTCCCCTGGCGGTCAGGGATCGAACTGGCGCTGCAGAGGCTGCAGGCAGCTTCGCAACTCAGTGCTCAACTGCTGTGCCACTGGGGAGGCCCCAGAATTTATATTTTAAACAGATTTTATAAGGACTGACCTTCTACCACTTTCTGCTTATCTCTTGATTATAGTTCTTCCTAAGACCACGTCTCCACTAGCCTGCATTAGTTTCCTATAGCTGCCATAACAAATTACCTCAAGCTGGGTGACTTAAACAGAACTTGATTCTTTTACAGTTCTAGAGGTAAGAGTTCCAAAATCATGGTCAAGTGGTTCTACCTGGCAGCTCTGAGGTATCCTCTCTCCCACGTGACTCTCTTAGATTGCTGTGTTCACTGGCAATCCCTGATGTCCATTCACTCTATTCTCCCCTTCTGTCTTTAGGTAGAGTTCTTCCCTGTTGCATGTGTTCAAATTTCCCTCTTCTTATAAGGACGCACTCTAAGCCAGTACAACTTCATCATAACGTGATTCCCCCACAAAGACCCCATTTTCAAATACTTATTTTTTTATGTTTGGGGTCTACATGAATTTGAGGGGACACTATTCAACCTAGTTCTGCCTGCTCTCCTGCTTGCATTCATGTCCATCCCATGAGTAAAATAAATCCACCCCATTCCAGTATCCCTAAAGGTATTAAGCCATTCCAGCATCAACTCAAAAGGTCCCAAATCTTATTTAATCATCTAACTCAGTTATGGGGGAGACTCTGGCTACGCTCTGTCCTGGAGCAGGAATTCTCTCATTTCCCAGACTTGTGAAACTAGGAAACAAGTCAACTATATATCTTGTCTTTTCCTCATTTGCTGTTTCTGGCTGCAGTCTCAGTGCCTTCTGTCTTTCTACTTCAAGAACCTACGTTCACACTTCATAAACTTCCTCTTATCCCTCAGACATACTGGGATGAACCAAGACTGGAAAGAACACTGAATTGGTTTCCCCAAATCTGGACTCTGTTCATCGCTTCCCTATGGGTCTCAGACAAGAATCAGCAAACTTTTTCTATGAAGATCCAAAAAGGAAGTATTTTGGGGTTTAGGGGCTATATAGTCTCTGTTGCAACTATTCAGCTCTGCGTTATAGGGCAAAAGCAATTCACAAATGAACAAGTGGTGCTCACTGGCAAACTCGATTTGCAAAATGTAAAAATGATTTTTCACTCATGGGCCTTACAAAACAGGCTATAAATGAATTTACTCCATGGCTGTAACTTGCTGACCGTAGTCATAGGGGATGCCATGTAAACCTCTTTGTTTATTTTGTTCAGTGCAGAGAAAACATGCTCTGCCCCTTTCATAAGCCAACATGAGCAAAGGAAGTGCCTTAGAAATGAAAGGGCACTCGAGAAATATAATGTTTTCTTTGGGGCAAATTCAAAAACCCAGATGGATTCAGTTTCTTCTGTTGCTATTTAGATCATTTTCGTCCATTCTTTCTCTACGTTACAAATAATTTTTCTCCTGTGGGTTAGTTCTGATTCAAAAGTAAAATTAACAGAATACCATATTTTCATCATAAAATGATAAAATTATTCATGTTCCAATAATATTGGTTTGAGAAGCATGATATTTCTTTACAAAGTAGTGCATCACTTGAAACAATTGATTAGTTAAATGGGGCTGGACAAAGACTTCATTAGCTCTGGTTTTCATGAGGTACAATTCTTCTCTCACTTCTTATTGCTCAGTATTTATTTCCATTAATCTGATGTTTCCAGAACTGGAAGTACTTTTTAAAAGTATGTTGAGGGAATTAAAAGTGATTTTGGAGGGTTTTATTTTAAGTGTTAGTGAGATTATTGCTCAGCATGGCTGTTGAAAATCTTTGCCTATGACTTGACAGACTGCATGTGAAAGAACATGTACCAGAAATTTAGTTCAGCATTTGGTTTTTAATCAACATGTTTTTCTAATTAAGATATAGCCGCGAAGATTATTTTTCTATACCTTGCCTGTTTTTTTTTTAAAGAAATGATTCATGTGTATTTGCTCACTCTGTTGATAAGCTTTAGATTTTATGAATGTCTGTCAAGACTATCTTGTGAGCATTTATTAGAATTTATGATTTTGAACAAATACTGCAAAGACATTTATTTGCTCAGTGGCAGGGCTCCCAAATCTGAGTTAGTTTGTAATTCATGTTTATTAGTGATGATTTCTCTGAAGCCCAAAGAGTTTATTTTTTGCTGTTTGTAGTGTCTCCAGCTCTAGAATTTCTCATTCTAAATTTCTCATTCCAGGTCTGTCCTGCACTGAAGGACATGTTTTTGATTCCCTGAATGGTTCTGCAGATTGTCTTTGGATGATTTAGATATAGGACAGCCCTGCCTGACTCTCAAACGTCTCTTAGTTCTCTATTCAGAGGTACCTGGAAAGAAGATAAGGTCTACAGGTTCTTTTACCTTCTGACCCCAGAATTTTCCCAGCCCTCCTGTTTATAGGACTCTTCAGCTACATTGGAGCCACGTTATATTTGCACGAATCATATGCAAATTTTAATTGTTTAAAAACAAAATTTTAAAAAGGAGAGTTAATAATTAAACAGTAGAAGGAATATTTTGCATGGCATTCCACTCTGAGTGCCTAATTTAGGACTCAGTGTTTCCTAGAAGCATGAAGCCTGAAATTCCCTTCACAAAGCATCTTACTCTCCCATTAGAAACTTATGCTGACTTCCAGGTCACAGGTGAGACTATGGGCTTGGGCCCTCTAGCCAACTGCAGCTCTCAGGTGGCTGGGTTGTCTTCAGTTGAATGGACTGTCAAGATGGCTCTAGTTCTGTTTGAAGTTTTGCAGGTTTTCCTTCCAGTCCCATAGTGTCATGAGTCTCAGCCCCTTAGACATAGCCCTCCC